CTCCTCTCCTCTCCTCTCCTCTCCTCTCCTCTCCTCTCCATCTGCATGGATGGAAAAATTTTAGAAGAGAAGTAGCGAGTTATTGGGAGAGACATGTCAAAACTCCTCTGAATTCTGCTGAAAATAAAATAAATGCAGTGAAAAAAAAAAATGCAGACTAACTGGAGACTCCAAGTTAAGTTCCTGGTGGCTGCACAGCTTGGTACCCCTCACTCCTGAGGGAGGATCTCTGGAAAAGAGTTGATTCACTTTGACCCTAAATGTAGTTGATGTCCACTGGAGGCTTTTCTTCCCCAAAGGTCAGTGCTTGAGTTATTTATCACTCTGCTCTGATATTTACCTCCTGCATTTTGAAAGCTGGATCCAGAGATGAAAAAAAACAAGAAGATGGATAGAGATGTCATGAAAGCTGATGCCGTTCCTTTATTTATACATTAAGGAGCTTTCATAGCCAGCTGCTGAAAAATGTTGGCAACTGGCTGAGAAAAACTCCTGTTGCACAAAAATGGAGAATAACTCTCCTTCCCCCAAAGTGGTCTGGTGTGATAAAACTGTATTTATTTGAAATCAAGCGTGACTTTTGAGACAGAATTGTCTATTGATTTATTTCTCTGCTTCTGTTTCTCTCTGGGAAATGTGCAAATGTGTGAGCAGAAAGTGTGAAGAGCAGGGGCAGTGCTCCAGCACTGTGAACAAAACGTGGAGAGTCTGAAATGTGCTACAAGGAAGACTCAAAGGAGAGAAGAATTGTGTTTGCTGCCAATGAGTGATGCTCAGATCTAACACCAGGTTCAGTTGGGGAAAACACCATGAACAGCAGGTGGGCAGTTCTGTTCAGGTTATATGAAGAGTTTTTGAACACTGCTGTGTTTTGAAGTGTTTAAACCACAGCTTATCAGTAAAACTAAATGTACATTTCAGCTGCAGAGATGGTTATCTGTATCTGTATGTAACATGAAAATAAATATACTAAACTCTGTCTACCTAAGCCTGGTCCATGCTCCAGAAAACCTCGTGCTTCTTGTTTCTCCCTCTGCTTCCATGTGAGCAGCAGAAGATGGACATTCCCCAAATGTCCAGCCAGCACCAAGTGCAGGACACCAAGAGCTCATTCCAAGTCACTGTCCTTAAAAAAACAAACAAACAAACAAACAAAAAAAACTAACAAAAAAACCCTACCAACATATTTCAGCATTTCAGCTGGTATATTTGCACAAAACCAGCACAAATCCCCATGGGCCTTGAAGAATGGCATCCAAGAATTCTGCACAACTGCTCCTACAGAGGAGGAGGTTATAAATTGGGCAGCACAGTTGTCATAGCCAGGAGAGGGTCCCAAAGCAGGAACTCTCCTTCCCAACCTCTGGAACAGCCAGATCTGCTCTCCCTCTCTGTTTTCACACAGCTCTCTCATTTTCTCTGCTTTCATTATGACACTTGCTAGTGTCTTCACCACTGAGATTTCTTTTCCTACAAACTAGCAAATTGCTGAGCTGTGGCATTTCCATATCAAACGGATATTAATGTAAGGAGAAATATGATAGTGAAAGCAGAATGAACAAGAAAACAAAACAAAACAAAATCTTTCAAGGATTAAATGGAGTTTAGAATTTGGTCCAAGTCAATGCAATGATGGCAAATGTCCTTCAGAGTGAGCTGGGGGTTAAAAGAGCTCACAAAGAAACTGCCGAAAATTGCCCAATCTGGCCCCTACAGGTTTCCTCTCCTGGGAAAAAAACACTTTTGAGGTTGTTAGGGCAGGTCACCATGCACCAAAAGACAGTGAACATCTTGTGCATGATTCCCTGACTCTGAAAAAAGGAATTTGCTATGTACAGAATGGACCATAATGAAAGAACCTCTCCAGGAGAGTCAAAAATTTTTCTCAACATTTATTTCCATTTAAATTCTGGGTAGTCAACAGCCTGCCTTGGTCATACCCAGACAGAGCTAAGCTCATTTGCTACTAGCAGAAGAAGACTTTCTTTTACCACCTAGACTTTGTGAAACCCTGAAAAGCTGTAGCTGACGTTTTAAAGGCAAATTATCTTAAATCCACTTAATTTTTAAAGAATAATTAATTTTAGGTGTATGGGAGCTGTTGAAATAATTTGTTTCCCACTAGGATAGCTAATTCATTAATAAAATACTGAGGTTCTTATTGTAAAATCCCAAATAACTTTTTTCTTGCATCCTCAGCTTACACTATTTAATGAAATGCAACAAGTTCCTTCTCAGAAGAACAGGATTTTGTTTGTTTTTTTGGCTAGATGTGGGTCTTCCAGAAGACCCTCTGACTCAGATGTCTATAACATGATCCCCATCACAAGAAAACTGTATTCCTTTTGCTAATCAAATGAGGGGGAAAAAAGCTGTGCTAAAACCAATTCAGCTGACCTGCTTCAGTCATCTATTTTAGGTGTTTTACAGGTAGTTTTTATGTATAACTTCTGCAGCTGAAAAACACAACCAGGCACAAGTCACCTTGGAGTGCTGTGTGCTCTTTGTTGCAGAGCAGGTATGTTTATCAGACCCTTTCAGTTTGTTTCATTTTTTCAGAACCCAAGAGAGTCCCTTAGAAATGACTCAGTAGGAAAATCATGCTCCAAATGAGCAAAGCAAATGGCTCACAGTTAAATCACCACTATACAGAGGGAGAACAGCACCCTCAGGGGCTCACCTACCACTTTGTTCATTTTTCTGGGGCTGGTGCCTCTGGGACACCCTGGGCTACACTCAAAAGGCAGAGAAGTTCCAACAAAGCTCTAGCATGTGGAGAATTTGCAGCATTTGTTTTCAGCCTTGCAGTATTCTTTACTTCTTTGGAGATGACAAGGGCAGGGAAGAGTTCTGTTCTGCCAGTGAATGTGCTAAACAGCTGCCTGAACTGAATGGAAAGTCTCCAAAAAGAAGTTTTTTCATGCTGCTGTTGACTGCAGTGCAGGTGGGTTGGGCAGCACAGAGCAACTGCAGCAAAAAAGTACAAAAGTCACACTTTAAAGGAGTCACAGTTTTGGGAAACAGAAAAACTCACCAGACTGTCTGGGAGGAAGGAAACAAAGCACAAAACACAAACACAGGAACCTGGAGGTATCTTTAACCATGTTTATTTAACCATGTACGGACTGGGGTTTGTTAGCTGGCTTGGTAGTAGGGAAATCCATGAAGAGGGTTTTTTTGAGTGACATTTTTTTGAGTTTGAACAAACCTGGCTAGCACCAAAAAACTCAGCTTCTCCTAAGCCCTGCAGCACTGTCTCCTCCCAGCTCAGGTTACTTGCTCCTGCAGAAAAACAAACCACAGAAAGAGCAGCAGGTATAAATTTCCATTTCAGTAGCACTGGCAGGCCCTTCCATTGGAACTGAGACACAGCAAGCTTTTAGCTTAAAATGATGCAAACCAGTTTGTGTTCCTGCATGAAACAGAGATGAGCAGCAGTTGACACTGGCCCAGATACATCTGCTTTGGTTGTGTATCCCAGCCCCAAATGAGGGCTGAGTCATGTGGATGGAGCTGGCTCTCTGTGCTTGTAACACTAAATAGTCCCAAAGCTGGGGCTCACATGGCAGCCTAGCAAATCCCAGCAAACCCACTGCACTCCTCCAAGAGGCAGAAGGGACTGCCAGACATGATTCAGCCTCAGCACAGCCCAGTTTTCTTGTGTCTCTTGCATTAACAGCAAAGAACACTCATGTAAGTGCTAGTCTCAGCCTGCTTCCTTCCGGTCTCATTTCATTCCCTATCTTCCCTCCCAGGAGGAACAGGTATATTGAAAATCATCTCTTTCCCCCATCCATCCGGTCTTTTTTGCTGCTAAGAAATTCCACTGAGAGCTGAATCTTTTCTCTGCAACTTTATTTGCCAGCTGTAGGGTTTTCACACCGTTATTTGTATTCCAGTCCCGATTTCAATTACCTGGCTAACCTTTTCAATTTTCACAGAGAGTGAGAATCAGAAAACAGCAGGTCCTTTATTACAGCTCACACTGGCGGGGAATTCTTCACCCCCCTTGCCTCCCCCATGTTTGCAGGAAAGCTCTGTCAAATTCAAACAAATTCATTGATAATGACTTGTCTATTTGCTTACGCTTTGCTGGCTGTTAAATATTCTGGTCCTTTCTGTGGACCTCTCTTCCATCCTCCTTTTGGCTTGAACATATTATATTTTACACCATTTCTAAAAGCCAAAGAGAAGCAATCTTAAACCTTCAGCCTGATGCTTGACTTCAGTGGGAATTCTCAGCAGGGTCAAGCACGGGAGAAGTTCAAAGCCTTGTGCTCTGAGCAGAGCTGTTTGCTGATCTTTGATAAGCAAGATGTGGTGGTGGCCAGTCCTATCCATATCTCAGAGCAATTCCCAGAGGAGACTCAGGGCATTGGGGGCTCCCTCAAACAAAGGGTGAGTCAGGCACAGGACACCACTCTGCTGAGCCCAAAGCCACTGAATTGTACTGCCCACGCTGTCACCCTTTCTGCCTTTCTCAATTCTCCAAGTCACACCCCTCCTCTTAACTCCTTTATTACTCTGAACTCTTCATCTAGCAATCATTTCCATGCCTGTGCTCTGTCTGCCCCATCACTCAGCCATTCAGATCCTAAAAATGATTTTATTTGACTGGGGAAGGAAGAGGATTTAATGCAAAAGACCTGTTCCTTAGCAACACCTTCCCATCTTTCTTCTTTTGTTATTTCCACCTCATTATCTTTGCCCATGTTCAACTCCAAATTAACTTAATTACAGACAGATTTCATATCTCTCTGAACCAGAAGGGGCACTTGTAAAACATCCCTCCAGTCCATAGTAAATGAGGGCCTTGGCCTATGCTAAGCAGGCTTTGGGAAAGGCAGCTCAGCTGTGCCTGCCCTGCTCCCTCCAGAGATCTCTCCCAGTTGCTCCCAGCTCCTGCTGTTCCTTTTCAGTGAGATATTTCATCTCTCCATTTTAAAGCCTGTCCAAGTTTACCCCAACCCCTGAGCCCCACAACAGACATCAGCATAAATCACCAGGTGAATTATTCTCTCACTCAGGGCACTGCAAACTTCCCACCTCCCCTTTCCAGATTCTGACAGGGGGCAAGTGCCTCAGTTCAAAGTCTGTGACTGGAATGTGTCCTGAGTACAAATCTGAGCTAAAGCTGAGCCTTATTGAGTCTGAATATCAGATGTACTTGGTCCAGGATGACCTCTGATTACCTACAAAAGTCAAAGATCTCTCTTGGTTAATGCAGCCCTGGGTGCCCAAAAATTGTACACCAATGACAGCTCTTCCCTTGAACATCCCCTCAGAGATAAAAATGCAGCAACTGAACTAGATCCAGGGCAGCCCCTCACACCATATCTTGTCCTTACTCTGTGATGCCAGGTTTCCTTTGGAAATCAGCATCAGGACCTATCTCTAGCAGCTGACAAGTTCCTCACCTTCCCACAGATAAATAAGCATTGCTGATTTGCTGTGTCTCACCATTCACAGAAGCTCTCCACTGGCAGAGGAAATATCTTCTTCCTTCTCTTGGAGCTCTAGTAGCTATCAGCCAGCCAGGACACCTCTTCCTAAATCCACCAAGTGACTCCCCACTGGAAGAAGCTGGGTGCTGCAGTAAGGATGAGGAGAGATCTGTATTCACACAGTGAGGAAAGTGTCAGAGAGAGCCACCAGCAGAACCGTGTTGAGGACACATGAAACACAAGGAAACCCTCTACAAAGACATGGGGGAGCCAAACTCCCACCAGCAACAAAAAAGGGAAGGCCCTGTGTCAATTTTAGAGGGATCAGAGAGCTGTAATTCTGCCATTAGCAGAGGCTGTGTGGTTGATTTCTGGAAAGGAAGGAAAGCCTGAGTGATGATGCTGGTGCTTCCTCCTCATTCAGGTGAGCACTCCCTCCCAGCTGCTTGCCACCCTGGGAAGTAGAACCACAGGTTAAATTGGGATGAGTTTCCCCCCTCACCCTGCAGAGACAGAGCTGCAAATCATGCAGTACCCTGGGATTAAGTACCTCAAATGCAGGCAGCAGAATTTCATTCGCAGAGTGAAATTCACTCTGCCCCAAAAGTTTCAGGTTCTTCTTTCCCTTTTGCCCCTTTCTTTCTCACCACTTTGGCCTGCAGTGAGAGAAGCCATAGGTAGGATATTTCCTTCCTATTACATTAGAACATTTTCAGAATTTCCCTGAGACAAGGTCTGAAGAAGGCAAGGAGCAAATATCTGCCCTGAAAATGGAACGTGTGGCCTCTAAAGAGCATTTGCACACATCGTCCCCAGATTTACAGCCCAACCACACAAGCCAGTGCCACTGGAGGTCAGTCTTGTGCCAGGGAAACCTGTGGCACTGAGCATTGGGTGCCCTGATTGCCAGAAGCCTTGGGAGATGAGTTTGTGGACACCCCAAGAGAAAACCTGTTCCAGCTCCCCCAGTGCTGATTTTTTATGCAGAGATTCTTCATTTATTTTTTCCTCAAAACTGCTTAGTGGTCTGGATAAGTCCAGGACAAGATTCACATGTGTTCAGCCAGCCAGGCTCCCAGAAAGCCAGGCTGCTCCTCAGTGCAAGCAGTGCTAACACAGACGGTGAGCCAGGCTTGGCCTCCTCATCCAAACCAATGCAGAAAATACTTTTGTTTTGGGACAATTCTCAGTCTTTTGTTTCACAGAGCATGGCAGAATAATTATATACAAGTTGCAAGTTGTGAATGAGAAATCGGGATATTGATTCATGACCAAAACAAGCACAAGCTCAGCTATAGTTAATTCAGTACCACATTCCTCGACAATGCCTATAATAAAGAATTCCTACGCAGAATCTCATTCAAAAACTTCCTCCTTCCATAAGACCCTCCAAGAAGGGCTCAACAAATATTTAATTTGAAACAAAAACTTTCAGCTAAACATTTTGGTAAAACAGATTGTCTGTGCTTCTACCACAGGATCCCACAGGTGCCAATGCAAACCCAGCTCTGGCTGTGCCAAGTGAAGTCAGCTCTTGGTAACTGTAGAAAAAATATTAATCAGTATGGTCTGAGTAGAAAATGGAGGCTGAAATGCTCAGTTGAGATGTACTCAAGTTACTATCCTACATATATCCATATTTTACCTTCAGGATAAGTTAATTTTTCTCTCTGGATGAAAGATTGCAGAGCTGTTCTCTGCCCTGTCTCCAGCCAAACCACATCTGGAGTGCAGGGTACATCATCCACACCATTCACTGAATCTCAAGTCTGCAGTGAGAGCCAGCATTGCACAAACCCTCTGCTGGCCCCTGCTACAAACAGCCTTAAGCACAGACTTCTTCTGCTGTGCTGTAATCATTAAAGAGCCATTCCTTTTCTGCTATTTTTCCAGCAGAGCAATAGAAATATTGATCTCCACTACTGGCTTCTTTCCTGTGAATGATCAGTTATCCTTTGGTGTTAAACAAACTCCAATTATGCATTCTAAATAACCAGAGAACCACGGGGGTCCAGGTACCTTCTGCTCTCTTACCTCTTATTCCCATTAGCATTCCTGTCAGCACGGCCTTGGGCACGCCACATCTTTCCAGGGAGTGAAAAGCAGCATCCATCCCTCTGTGCCACACTCACCTCCTGCCTCAAGGAGCAGCAAAATTCTTCCTGAACCCAGGCAGTTCTGAAGAGAGACTGGAGCAGACAGAAGAAAGGAGACAGGGCTGGGTGACTGCAATAACTCAGGGATAAGTGGCTCCTCATAACTAGGAAAGAAATCCCACAGTGTGGCCGTGGCATTGGAATCACCACTGGGAAGATGTGTCCCTAAGCAGCCAGGACATCCCCTGGCATCCCCTCGGTGACACAGACAGCCAGGGACAGCCAGAGATGGTCAGAGACAGCCAGGGACAACCAGAGACAGCCAGAACCCAGGTAGGCAGTGGGTAAGAAGATTATTAACTTTGGCAGAGCCCATCAGGTGTCCTTGCAGAGCTGCCACCTTGCTGGGTGCAGGAGAGTGGGGTGCACTGCTGTCGGGGTGATCCACAGGGGCAAATTCCACACCAACAGCTCAGGCTGAGGGGACACTCACATCCTTTGCCTTACATATTCAGCCTGCAGTACTCACCACTAGGCTCTTCCTTCCTCTCAGAAGCCACATTTTCATTCCTGTTTGGGTTTTCTTTTCTCTCTCTCTCTCTCTCTCTCTCTTTTTTTTTTTTTTTTTTTTTTTTTTTTTTTTTTTTTTTTTTTTTTTTTTTTTTTTTTTTTTTTTTTTTTTNTTTTTTTTTTTTTTTTTGTGGTGTTGGATTTTCCTCCCTCTCACTTCCTTTGCTGCAATGTTTGTGCTGTAAGCTACAGCAGATAACATGACAGGCTTTCACCTGCATGGTTCCTTACCACTTTCTTATGGAGTATTTATTTTCTTGTGGGTATGTTATACCTTCACAAATGGGACTGAACCATTCACCACTGTCAATAAGCCATGGCAGCTAAGCCCTTTTTTACTGCCAGACTGGGCCAACTGTGGAATATAAGTGTGCTAAGGACAAAAGGTTTGAACCAGGGATATATTGAGCTGTTCATATTTAAAGAAGGATTGGGATGAAATTAAGACTTCAGAAAGTATCTGGGTAAGAAATAGCTGCATGGAAGCTGCAGGTGTCTGTGAGCAGGACCCAATTTCATACATGTTGCCACATTTACTCCATTGATCTGCCTAGCACAGTTTGGAGTGAAGATTATCTCAGCCTTCCTAAGACCACATCTCTCTCTCTTTCTCTCTCTCTTTCTCTGCCCTTGCTCTCCAGAGCTGCAGGCTGAGTCCTGCCCATGACCCAGTGAGGAACTTCTGCCCTGGGCATCACTGGATTAAAAAATCCCTCTCTTGAAACACTCAGGGGTACTAGTGCATGCTTTGCTTCAGTGATGCTTTGAGGGAAATAGTGCTTGTTTTAGAAATGCTAAAACAAAAAGGCTTATGAATACTGAGGTGTTTTGTTAGTTTGGCTCTGGCAGAAGCAGCTTTTCGATCCATTTATCAAGCTGCCTGCAGCTGCCATTTCAAGGCTGATGAAGATATAATAAACAGCAAGCCAAAAAAAGTCATTTGAAAGGTGCACCCAAAGTAGTTTAATAAATAAAAAATCAGGGGCAGGAGGGAAAGAGAATGAAAAATCAGTGCAAGTTTTGACTTTCCTCTGCTGCCCATTTTATAGCATAAATTTAAATAAACGAATGGTGAAGGTTGGTGGAATCACTCTTTCATTCTCAAATACCCTCTCTAAAAATTTCTGCTTGTGAGTTCATTGTTCTGGCCCATGTTTTGCCAGCTACCCTCCAAACTGTCACTCCAAAATGTTTAAGGATATCCATCAGACTCTGCAGGACCCAGAGCTCCTGCTGGATGAAAGCTCTTTGTGGAATCTCCAGGGCAATAAACCTCAACATGCTAAGCAGCTGGATGCCAGCGAGCTCAGGTGATCCCAAATTTTATACTGTTCCCTTCCCACTGCTTATACAGAGGTGACCTTGGAGTTTGCACCAAGCTTTAATCTCCCACAGAGGAGACTTTGCTCCTGCAGAGATCCCTGCAGGTGCCAGTCCTGTGTCAGGTGTCAGTTTTTCTCTGGGTACAAGGACAGCTTTACTCATGTTGGGATTAATGGCATTTGCCATGCTCTCTTTTCCATTTGGATTCATGGAGGTCAGGCAAGCTGGGAGCCTTCTCAGGCCCTTGCAGATGTTCTGCTCATTGATCTGTGGCATATAGCAATGCAGTTATTGCACATCTTCCTGGTGCATTTTGATTACCAAGGCCTGATGGACATTCAGGCTGGAAGTCTAGGTTTGAGTTTCACCATTCTTCTTCCAGAAGTTGCCACCTGGTTTCTTTGAATTGCAGGAACTTTTCTCCAGGTCTGATTCCTCCCTCAGAAGTTGGGGTCAAGGCTCATGGACTTCAGCAGATATCACAAAGATCCTGTGAGAAACAGAGAGAACCAAGAGGGTGTTGCAGGCAATAAAAAACATTAACAGGTGAATGAATCAGAGGAAAGTGAGGAGAAAAAGACAGTCCCAGAGGAACAAAGAAAAGAATGGAAAAGGAAAGAGAGAAAAATATTTTCTAAACAAGAAATTATTAAAGAACTGAAATGAGAATAAGGATGAAAGAAGAGAGGAGAAGGGGAAGTAGAAGGAAATGTGAAGACAGAAAAAAGGCCCAATACTATGCATAAAGAAAAATATCTGCTGGTTTCCATTTTCATTAATGCTTCACCAGATGGAGACGGTATCAACAATAATAGAACCTCTGTGCTGTAGAACAATAGGTGAAATAATTCAAGCACCACTTTCAGATTAAAAAACAATGAAGACAGTTTGATTTATTTCCCAGTTTTTCTTTTCTTTCTCTATATATAGAAAATAACCTCATCCACTTACTCAAGTTCTGTGGCTCATCACACACAAAAATATAAATAAAAGAATTAAAACACCCTTTATCACAGACAGAAAATAAATCAGAGGTCTCGATGCATTTTCTTTGTTGCAGCTGGGTCCTGTCTTCACATTTATTTATCTTTAAATTTCTCCTTGCACTCCAGAGACCATATCCCATAAAATGCCGGGTTAACAAGTTAACCATGAATAATTCATGAGATAATTATAAAACATTTACACCAGAACATTATTATCCTGCAACTAAAAAAACCCCAAATACTTAATGTCCTCCAACATTAATGGTAAACCTCTTGTGACTGCAATGCTCTTCATCACTAAAATTAAATGGAAATAATCTTCGATTTGCTTTGTTGTCTACTAACAGAAAATCACAGGGGAAAAAACACCCCCGGGTGATATGGAAACAAAACTACATTAATACATAAACTTATTTTGGTGTGTGTGTTTGCACACACATATATATGGGATTCTGAAACATGCCCACAGAGGAGACCCAGTTTTAATGGAGATCCAGTTTTAATCTTCCTCCCCCAAACACATTCTGAGGCAGGAGGGACATGGGTTTTTACTGAAGGGATTGCCTCAGAGCACACGTGGAAAGGACAAACACAGATCTGCAGCACTCTGTGCCCAGAGGGACTGTGGCTTGCCAGGTTTTCCTCATCCCTTCCCACTGCACAGGTGGTCTTTGGTCAGACCCTGTTCCCAAAGTAAGCCTAGAGCTTACCCTGAAATTAAAATAATAATAAACCTCAGTTTTGCACTGGTATCACCAAGATGAGGATTTGGCCTCGTTCACACACCCAAAATTAAGGCTGTCACATGTGTGGCTGTAAAGCTCCTGCAAGAGCACCACCAGCAATGCAGCTCTCCAGTGCAGCCATCAGGACTCCTGCAGTTCTGGGCTGCATGAAAGCTCCTCTGTTGCCTTCCCCCTGGACACGAGGCCAGAGAAGTGTTGGGAAAATTCTCCAGCCATCCTTCACCGTGTGCTGATGATCCCCTGAGGGCTTTAATGGGCACACACAGAGAAACCTCCAGAAGCTCTTGCTTAGCTCACAGAGACTGTCAGCCTGCAGCAGAGACACCCCGGCTACCCAGCAATGACTTCTCCTCTCCCTCGGGACCTCAGGATAACAGAGCAGCACTAAAGCAAATCTCCACCAGAGAGCTCCTTCTGTGAGCGTGGGCTGCCATCAACAGCAGCCAGGAGACCTTGGGCTGGCACTGCCAACTCCAGCTACAGCCCCTGGGGCAGCCCAGGGCAGAGGGAGAAACTCGCCCAGGGAAAATGCAGGAAACACTCTCTTGTTCCTCTTTCTCCTTCCTCCCTCTTTGAATGCAGTCACAGAAAACTACCTGTGCTTTCTCACGGACACATTTACACCCAGGCTGAGACACTGGAAGCTTTTCTGAATGGAACAGAAGGTTAAGGGTTCCTCTTCCTCACAGGATTATTAAGAGGTCACATATGGGAATTCAATTGCTACATCTGCCAAGAGCAAGGGCTGGAAGCACCCTCTGCATGTTCTGAATCCATGAAAATATCCCAGGAGATTTGGCACTAAGCTGATGGTCCACAAAACTACCCAGAGCCTGAGGCATTGCAGTTTGATTTAACCATGCACACTTTTCTCAAAGGATTAGGAGGACTCTACAATTGTGACATTTGAATTGCAATTGAAAAGCAGTCTCTCCCACAGGCTTTGCTGGTCTGGGACCTGGGAGGAGAGGTGTGTGTGTCCATGAGGGGTGTGTGTGTCTGTGAGGCTGTGTGCATCTAGCAGCTGCTTTGGGGCAACAAAAGAGTTCACAGCTCCAAAGAACCGTGTTTACCTCCCATCCCACAGCAGCCCAGCAAACAACGTGGGATTTTACAAAGCAAATGGACACAGTGAGGAACTCAAGTTGGAATTTCAATCATCTCTGCAGAGCCCATTTAGAAATCCGTCTGCTGTACGTGAGTGTCAACAGTCGTGAAATTTCATCTCTGCATCAATTTGCAAAATAGAAAAAATGTTTCATGAACAGCAATATAGTCCTGTGTACACAGCTGCCAGCAGCTGCCCTCTGGGGTGATTCTTGTAATTTTCTATATTTTGCTCAGCAAGATGTCATTTATCATGAAGACTATCATCAATATATGAACAGGTAGGGAGGTCTGTTATCCTCAGCCCTGAAGCACAGAGGAGTTTTGTTTTGGAAATTCTTGTCTGGGTACCTAACTCAGCTACCTGGCACACAGATCTGCAGTCAGGAGTGGGGAGGCTTGGATTACCAGACTCTGCCAGGGATGGAGGAATGTAATCCCAGTACCTCACCCTGAGCCCATCACTGACTCTCTAAATGCTCAAGGGTTCCATTTCTGAGCATTCCATCTCAGTGTTCGTGTTCCAGTGCAGTGCAGGCATTATGAAAGCAACAAGGCTGTCTGTGAATGGCTGTTTGCTGTCTGTGTGATCCTGCAGCTCAAACCACCAACCATGGTGCCAGAGCTTGTCCAAGTCCCTCTCACATGCAGCTATAGACTCTTCCTTAAAGAAGTCACTCTCTCAGACAAGAGCTGATGTCAGCAGGCAGGGGAAGGAGGGGACAGACATGAGACAATCTTGACTGATCTTACAGATTCTGAATGTACCAACAGCTTAACTGAGTGTCAGCAGCTGGTTAGAGATGCTACAGAGGGGACAACCTTCAGCTGATTCTGCACAAGCACAGAGCCCCAGCCTGATGCCCGAGGACCATGGCAGTACAAGGAGATGTGTTTGAGCTCAGGCATTTGCTCGTGTTCTCCCTGAATGCCTCTGCCCAACATCTGAGACCATCTGAGTGTGAAAGCTTCCCAGGGAAAAGAGCTGAAGACTGCAACATTCATTTCTCTCTGTAAGGACAAAGGGAGGATTGAGTCCAAGCTGTTTCTCCTCAAATCACGAATCAATCAAGCAGCTCTGGTGATGTCACTATCCCTGGCACTGGGACCTAATTTTAAATTACCTCAAATCTGAAAGATTGATTTTCACCATCAGCATTTAATGTCTGCTGTATCTTTCTTTTCCCAGCAGAGAAGAAAAAAAGAAAGGAGGAGACAGAGAGGGAGAAGGAGATGGTTCAGATTCAACTGCAATTTAGCATTCATTTGCATTTTTAAATTAGTTAAGCTGTGGACCGTTGCAAAGCAATGGCAGAGAAATTTTGTAATAATTAGTCTGCTGGGAGTGTAGAAATGGCTATACAGGCAGGTTTCACTGAAAGAGGAGCAATATCCCAATGCTCAAACTGGGATTTGCACAGGCAAATTTACTCTCCCTCATATGGGGCCAGATCCAGCTCAGCAGACAGAGAGAGCTCCAGCTCAGACAACTTCATCTGCTCTAGACACTGACTGCAGCCAGGGGAGAGAGAGGGTTGTGCTCAGACTATGATTCATCTTAACCTAATGTAGAAATCTGAATCAGGCCAGATGATTAGATACCTGGAGTGAGGTGAGAGCAATCTCACCACTGTTGTTTACAATATGATCTTAAATTCTTCAGCCTCTGCGTGTGTGTCAGCCTCTCCTCAGAGGGCTCCACACATCTGACCCCTTCTCCCTCCCTCCTGCAGCTCCAACCACAATTTTCTTGCTGCCTGTAAGGAGATATACCCCTCTCCTAAATGCAGTGGGAAGTCATCATTACCTCACATCTGACAGTAAGTGCTCAGGGAAGGGGGAAGGGAAGGATCAGGATGAGAATGAGAAGAAGGACCCCCAGTTTTGGCACAGAGACCTACCCTCCCTCAGCTCACAGGGGGGATATGACAGCACTTCACTGTACAGTGGAAGGTGCTGCATATTCAGCAACCTGAGCCACTGATTTTGCCATGCATCTCACAGCTGCTGTTTGAGATGAGTGAATATTGTAATGCCTCCTTCTTTGGGTGGCAGAACATGGCAGCACTAATGCTCACTTTGCTCAGCAAGGAGAAGAGCCCACTGGTGACTAAAGATGCCTTCAGAAGCACTGCACACCCGACCATCCTGAAAGCAACTCTTCATCACCCATCAGATGTTCTCTGTCTTGCATAATTTTGCTGTCCTTTGCTTGCCCTGCTCCAAAAGCTGGCTTCTGCTTCTCTTCTTTCTGTTTCTCTGTGTCTGCTCCTTTTTGTTAAAGTTGTCCCTCTGGGTGAACAGAAGCACAAGGAACAGTCAGTGAATTTCCTGAAATCCTCCCCCTGACCTGAAACATCAACCCTTAGTACAATTGTGTTTATTCAGCCTCACCACTGCTTTGTTCAAAAATGTGAACCCATCCTCTTCCAAAGCAGCACCAGCCTAGTCTCCACAGTTCACCACGAGCCATGGAATGGTTTGTTTTCTCTCAGGCATAATTTGGGGTTACAGAGCATCCACATTTTACATCCATTTAGTCTATAGTGGTGTGACATGTGCATATATATAAGAAACAGAATGAAATTACTTGAAAACCAATATACCTGCATCAAATGCATCAACTCTGTGGCCACAAAATAGACACCCCATTATTCTGAGAGCAAAGTGAGTGCAACTGGATTTCCCTGAAGGAACCCAAACCTTTCCAGTTTTATTACCTTGTCACTCTGAGTGTTTGTAGATATCCATCACAAAGGTACTTTTTGTTTCAGTGTGGACTTAAGTGACTTGATCCAAACGGTCTCTTGAGAACAGAAGAGCAAGAAGATGAAAGCTAAAATAAATAAATGGCTCTACTTATATTAGAGACCAAGAGCAAAAAGTGCTCTGTTTCACATTTGTTAGTCACTTGTTTAACTTTTGGGGCTGGCATTTCTGGAGTGTGTTTGTCCCATCAAAGTTCCAGTTTGTCCCATCACATCAGTGGCTCTCATCTACAACAACTGGCATTGCCTTATAAAATTCAAGTGTCTTGCTTGCTCACCTGTCATTTTGTTACTAGACACATATCCAAATTGAGGTAAAAGTAATTCCTAGGATCTTCTGTGCATTTTCCCTTAGGATCTTCTTACTTTCTTGCTCTGGCAGAGAACAGTTGTGGGGTTTGTGCTTTGCAGCTGTGGTGAAGGCTCTAGAAAGGTTTTTTCATCAGTTATACAGGGATGCGTGGAGGAAACCTGGTGGTTCTGCTGAACTCTCTGTTGATTTCTTCTCAACTGAGCATGGGCAGCTGACCTGCAGGATTTCTTGGTTTCTATTGCAGTCACTGGGGAGAGAGACACCTCCCAAGGACCATTTGTCTCACCCTAAGGTGGCTGTCAAGAGAAATGGGAAATTTCAATTTCTGAAAGTCACATTTTAGTCCTACCAACCACAGAGCAAATCTATGCACTTGTTTAGACCAGAAGCCAGGGGAATCCACCCAAAATATCTGTATATGTTTCCCTACATACACAGGACTGGACCCATTCCAGCTGTTTATTCCTGAGCCTTTTCACAAAAATATCACCTTGGAAAGGGCACTATTTTCAGACAGAACCGAGCCAGTCCCTATTTAAATTTACAAACTATAAGCAAACATCCACATCCCTTACACTGGCTGTGATTATGATGGCGCCTTCCCCAAGAGACAGGGAAGAGAAAAGTGTGAAAAGAGACAGAAAGGAGATGAGAGAAGGAGCTTCACTGTGTGCCAGGGGTAAGGACAGATGTGCATTATAACCTGCCTTCCTGAGAGACTAAATAATAAGGAAGCTTTTCTGAAACATCTCCAACCATCCCAAGACGGTCAGAGTAGCTCCCTGCCGTATTTCTTTGCCGGTATTTCTTTGCCTTTTGTTCGCAGCGTGGAGCTGGAGTCGGGCAGAGAGGTTGGAGGGGCACAAGGGCCCATTCCCAGTGCCCTCTGACACCGCCTTAGACCCCACCCGCTGAGGCACAGTAGTCTATAATGATGTTTTTCTGGATATTTCCATATGTGTTACAAGCAGTTCAGCTAAACCACAGTCCCAGAAAGTACCTTTCCATAAAAATAGGATCCCGTAAAACCTGTACCTTTAGACAATCCCCACTCTGACATAGCCCCAGTCTCTCTATTTTACAAAATAAAGGTTTCAGTGTTCAGTCTCCTGAGTTTTGCTGTGTTATCTGTGTTATCTGTGATTGTCTTGGAAACCCAGCTCACCCTGAGGCCAGCTATTAACATCTTTCAGCATAACAAAAGCCTTTATTGTCCCACTATTTCTCATGCATCCTGTCAAGACACTCAGATGAATGAGTTACCAGGGGGTAAGTTTGAGTATAAATTTACAAGGCCTCTACTCCATCATAATTGTCTGTATTCATATTCTCATTCTTCATGCTCATCCAGATGTACTTGGAAGTGATTTGTCCTCAGGAAAAAAAAAAAAAGGGATTGGTTGCTTTGCATCTGCTCTGTAGATACAAAGGAAAGGATGTCCTGGGGCTTCTTGAGGAGAAGGTGACATCCTGGGAGGTCACCCATGAATCTTCCCTGGGAACATGTCCTTCCTCCTGTGGCATCCATAATGTCTATTCCACGTTGTTAGAAAAGGGTTAGTGCAAATATGAAAACAGCTATTTAGTTTGAAAGACAATAATCTTCATCCAAGCAGCTGAAGGGTTTCAGTTGGAAGAAGATGTTTTAGCAGGGAGAAAATATCGAGTGGGGTTTTCTACACCAAAATTCTCAACACTCTGCACATATGAGCAACCATCCATAAAGGACATGCATTTTACATCACCACAAGACTCTTCTTCAAGCACAGCTATAACATTTCTCCAGAGATACAACCCAAGAATACTTCACAATCTGTATTTTTGCATGTGCCCTAAAGCTTTTGTTAGCATGACTCGTGGGCATGATTTGCTCACATTCCCAGCTGACAGCCAGGCCAGGAAAATCTCACAGCTTATACATGCTCCCTGATTCCTTTTATTATTTAGAGGATTAACTGAGTCTCACAATGGCTCCAGTGACTGTTGGGCTCTCAATGAAGTAGCAAATAATTGAAAACACTAAATACCCATTATAACTGGTAAATGACAATACAATCCCAGGCAGGAAGATATTAGAGAACTTGCCAACCTGAGAGAAGCCAAGTATAATAAAGATCATCTTCAGAGAGATGTGCCATGAAGGGCTCTTATCTCTCTGCAGCAGTTCAGTGCACCCTTCTAACCCAGGGTGCCTTTTCATTGTGGATGAGAACAAAACCAAAAAATTCCCCAAGTCCAGCTTGTACATACACGTAACTTACTCAGTGCTTCTCTGCCATGTGAGTACACTGATTTAGTCATCTTCTGCTCACACCAGCAGCCTTGCCTTGCTTACTTTATTATTTCTGACTACTCACCCAATCCACCGATGCTGGAATTGCTCTGTAATTGTGAGTGCCATATGGTGCCCTAATTATTGCAGTGCTTGTTGTACCAATGTGTTAGAAAATCAAGTTGTGGGGAGAGGAGCAACAAGGAGAGTCAGGCATTTGGAGGGACGGGTTTGTCAGTGAACACCATTTACTACAAACACTCCAGGATGCCAAGAGCCACGTCCAGGAAACTAAAAAGCATGGGTATGAGAATACCAAAAGCATCATCTGCTTGGGGTCTCACTGCAGCAATGGGACTGGGGTTGGATTTTATTTCTCTTTCAGATTCTATATCCCTGTGGCTAGAGAACATGGCTGTAGTTTATAGGAATAGAAAAGTATAATGTTATTCAAGATTATGATGTTGTCACTCTAATTTGTAAAAAGAAAGGAGGAGGAGCAAATAGAGGATGATACAAAACCCTTAGGCTGGATTTCCTTTCTGGTTTACATGGACATAGATAACATGCAGGACTGGAAAAGTCCTTATTAACAAGGCAATTAAAATGTACCAATGAATTTGCATTGCTAAATAATACAAGATTTAACAGGCATAATAACAAAACAGTTTCTCCCTGAACTTCCTCTTTTACATTCACTCAGTTGGTCAAACCCTCTCCCTTGTTCAGATTGCACTGACAAAAGATTACTCAACTAAAGGCTTTAGAGTAAGTGTGGGTTTGTGCCATTGGAGGAGATAATAGGTTTTGTTCTAAAAGCAATGTGCCTTTTCCACAGTGGTTCTACAATTGTGGATGTTCAAGGGCAGAATGGACAAGCAGCTGCAAGAGGAACCCAGGGCAGCTCACTGAGAATCACATTAATCTTAGGAAATCCTGAGCTGATGGTACTCAGAGAGTAAAAATCTTATGGAGGAAGATTAAACAAGTTTTTTCTATTCTTATTCCTCACCAGGTGTCTGCCTATGGCCCCTGCTGAAGATCCATTACTGATGCTGTCAGCCTCCTCTGAAGGCTCAAAAATATCCATTCCCCCGTGACCTTACAGACTCAGCTGCACCATGACCATCTTCCATACCCTGCAAGAGTCTGATGAGAAGACATAAGATGGTGAAGATTATTCACAAGAAAGGAACTCTCTGCATTCCTGCCAATGCACTGAGCAATAAACAGAAACAAAAAACTACAAAAATTACAGACCTGGCCCTTGGCACAATGATTCTCAAAGTTTCTCCACAAACTGGATGTAGTTCACAAGATGGACAGAGCAAATCCCAGTGTGTCAAATTCACAGTGTTGGAATGAGGAGGTGTTCCTCCAGGAGTAAAACACCTAATTGACCCATAACCTATCAGTGAAACAATAGAGAATAAAATTCCCAGTATAATTGGGTTATAAATCATTCCTTTGATACCAGGACCTAGCAATTTATTTTGAGTATCTAAGTGTTTATTCTGAGGAAGTACAGAGTGCTTTAGCTATATTTAAATGCTTTAGCTGGTGCTTAGAGGGGAAAACTGACAACTGTGCACAGTGATTTATTTATCCACTTTACCTGGACTGTAAAGGTGTGAAGACAGAGCTTTTAAAAGCAATTCTTGCAGGGGCCCACAGGCATTGTGCAAGTGCTGTCCCTGCTGGCTCAGCTTCCTGGGTCCCACTCAGAACAGCTGGTGATGGGCAATCACCTCCATCCTCTCCACTGCCTGCAATAACTTGCTGGCTTTTCACTGCTCTTTGAAGACCATTTTGCCCACAGGAATTTACCAGAGTGAGTGCCTCACACAGATAGCCTACACAATAAAAAATTCACGTATTTACACACCATCTCTCAGTCATGAGTATTCCCTTACAGTCACGATTTCTCTACATTATTATGAACATTTTCAGAAGTGTTTAGGTGCACAATGGACACAGGGTATGGTCAGGACCAGGGGGATGATCATTCCCCAGTGTCCTGGTTTGTGAGGCACTGTCTTTACTTCCTCACCAGAGGAGCAGAAATGGTTTCTCAATGCAATCTCTGGAGAAAGCCCTCAAATGCAGCAGAAGGACTGGTGTGACATAAAGACCAGACATGAACTGGGGCTAAGGTCAATAATCATGTATGAAAATATTTTGTGACAGTTTTGTTTAGGCAGACATTTAGCAGATAAAAAAGCTACTCCCGACTTCCATGGAAGGAATAGGAGCCACCTGCCAACCCTTTCCCACAAGCACGTGGCCAGGACAGAGAACATGACTGGCAATTTCCTTTTCCTGACACTGCCACATCCATCCATCCCTCCAGGAAGCAATAGTGGGGCCATCCCTGGATCTCTGCAGCTGTTCATGGC